ATAATAGTTCCTTCTATTCGAGCTACATTGAGGGGGCTTCCAATCGGAAAGACCGGCTTTATTAGCACGTAAGTTATAAAATAAACAAACTTGCTTTAGAATATATTCACATATTTTTTATTTCAGCGCAAAACGGCAAAGCGTTGCCAGTGCGGATAGAAAAGGGAAGTTAGGAAGGGGAAAACGGCCAGATATCATGTTTATCCTTAATTATAAGGAAAGGATACATGAATTGGTATTTGCCGAATGTTCACGTCTGGTTTGCACCGAAGATAAAGAAAAAACGGATCAAGTAAAACTGTGGCGAGAAATGAATGATGGGCTATTCTGGTCTCGCAAAGCGTGCAAGCCAGACAAAGGTGAATTTGGCATTATCGGTGTTCAAGTAGCTAGCAGCCAGATCCATCTAAATGTTATAATTAGAGACGATGATGATGTGCACCGTCTCTATCGGTTACGCTCAGCCGAAATACCGGTTCAAAAAGTTGACGGCGAAATTGTTTCTAATTTTGTAGAATTGTTGCTAAATTTAAGAGTAAAAATTTCTTTATTCTGAGCTTTGATACTTACTTTTTGTAATTGAATAATAGAACATTCTGATCCTCAACTTGTCATTATTATTCCATGCGCAAGAGACTGAATCGCATGGGGATAGTGAAAGTAGTTCTACATTGCGTTCTCCATGTAGAGAAAAACAGGAACGAACAAAAACGAGAAAGGTAAAAAAAAGAAGTTCTTCACGGGAAAGAGAGAGATTAAATAAGAAAAAAAGATGAGATTTGAAGAAAGGTTGATTTCATTTCTTTAAGTTATTTTTATTTTTATATAATAAGGCTATACAAACTTATATTATCACGGACTAGCTTTCAGTGACACGGAGGTGACAAAGTGGTGGCAGAAAAAATTCGCGATCAGGTGATCGCCGATGCTTCCGAACCCTTCGATGCAGAAAACTTTATGCATTTTTTTCAAGAACCGAATATTAAATATATAGTACATATTTAGGATTGTAACCGCGAAAAATTATGCTAGCGGTTAATCGCGTCGTTTAATTATAAATTACATGATTAATCACGATTAATAATCGTATAATCGTTTTGCCATTTAGCCGTTTAATATAACCATATATTTAAGAATTGGAAATCAGCATAAGTTTGGGAATAAAAATTTTTATAGCATAATATATGGGTAAGTTTTCTGAAAAATTATAAAGTTGGGTAATTTAATCACAAACATAATCATTCGCCACAGTAAGAATGTTCACCTTCGGGTTTAATTGGCATCACTCATATAGTTATACTGCCTAAACGTTGATAAGGTTTAAATAATCACGCATATTTGTTTATATCCACGTAAGGCATTGAACAATTATTAAACGATTAAGCGTATAAAAAGAAACGGTTAAACGAACAATTTAACGGTTTTTAATCGTTTATAAAATTTCTTACTCATTTAACCGTATAATATAAATAAACGGTTTAAACGGATGACGGTTCCAATCCCTAGTACATATTAATATATCTGATATTCGGTTATTGGGCTGCATCGAAGGGGTTCGGAAGCATCGGCGATCACCTGATCGCGAATTTTTTCTGCCACCACTTTGGCAACCCGGATTTTTAAAATTTTTTAAGCTACATACATAATTTCATATACCTTCTCGCATTCACCAAAGCTAAATCCCGTCCTATCAGTTTAATGTATACATAGAACGATAGTGGACAAGTATTGTTTTAATTTCTCTGGCCTAAAAAGATAGTCACTTTATATTCATATAATATAATTGTCACGGTTAAGACCGGACCACGGTGTTCTTGTTGGCCTTTCCTATTAGAATTTCTTCTATTCACTTAGCCGCGAGATAGTGTATTATTAGGTATTTCCTTATGTGCCCCTTCCACGCACATAACCATCTATAACTGAGTTACGTCCTTTTGTAAGCGAAAAGGTTCCCTATATACGTAAAAAATTAATTGCATCATAATTAATCATACGATATCTTTTACTTCAATTACATCATTAATTAATCATCCGATACTTATCTTTTTTTAATCTCATATTTCTTATGTGCATTAAACTATCGACTAGTAGACCGAATCATGCCGTTTGATAATGCCGTAGATCCTGTTGCACAACTCCAGGATCAATTTTCCATGACAATAATGTTCGAAGCTTAAAAAATACGACAATCTTTTAACGTTTAACCATCCCATTTTCCACTCATTTAAATTTAAAATCTTCTCAATAAAGAAGACCTAAAACTGAAGGTTGGGTAGATGTTTTTCCATATTTGACGGATAGTAAAGAAAATCAAATTGTTAAAATCATTAGAAGGAGCTGACGTAACTAAAGTTGAAACCTTAACGGTTGATCGAAAAGAAATTCTTTTCATCAGGTTTTTTAAGTAGTATAGCGAACATTATGAAAGTATGCTCAAGCATTTAATTCTATAAATATCGGCATCAATTGTGATGCTTGAGCGTCATCACGTCTATTATCTGATCAATGCCTGAGAACAGCCTTAATTGCGTATAAAGATCTTAATCAAAAATAACAGTGATCTTTGGCATTTGAAATATGTTGGTCTCGATAAATTAGAAACGCTGTGTTTAATCATGCAATTTAAATAACAAACATTCACATACATAATGAACTAATGAATACACAAATCGGAAATGTGATCATATCAAATGCATATTTAAGTTAATTCAAAGCTGTTTGCAAAATAATGCATCTTGGATCAAATTTGCAGCTTACAGGTACAGTCACCTGATTGCAAAATTGTCAAAGTTATTTTCAGTTGCATCAAACTTTTGAATAAGGAATCAATTTATAATCACACAATCGAACAATAATAAAGTGATTGTAAAAATGACGATTTGTAAATTTTGATCAAAGGCGAAACATTTTGCAAATAGCTATAAATGGCTCAACAACATAGTATCAAATAAATTAAATTAAAATGTATTTACCTTATTATTACAGTGTTTTTTCTTATTAATTGCCTCTATTTTCTATTTTTAGTATAGCAATGTAATTGTTATAATTACCTAATATAGCTAGCAATATATTTAGTTTAGCCTTAATTTTATTTGTGCTGATTCCGTTCTTGATACTACTTGAGAAAACTTTTCAGCGATCTCAATAAAATGATTAATAAATAACCAAACTAACTCTAAGAAGAATTATTTAAAATACAGTTATTCTGTAAAAATTAGACTACAGTCGACCCTCCCTAAGTGCACCCCCATAAATGCACGGACTATATATGCACTCTCTAAATGCACACTAATACTTATTCCCAAGCATATAGAACTCTTAATAAAATGCCTTCAGTAAATGCACACCTCTCTAAATGCATATTTTTGAAAATTTTGTCTATGATCCCAAGGGGGGTGCACTTAGGGAGGGTTGACTGTAAATCTATTTTAGCAATATATACTTGCACTTGTAAGTTCCTAATCAGGAAAGAAGTTATTGTGACAAAGCTAATATTTTGATGTTTACATGTTATAATTGAGGAGATGGTATGGCAAAAATTATATCCATTGAGTCTTGTGGTTTATAACTATTAAAAGGTGAACTTTTTTTAAAAAAAAATACAGTATAACCTTGATATAATGAAGCTCTGGAGCTGGGGTGTTTGGTTCAATATATCAAGGCTTCAGTCTATTGAGGCACCTTGCTATAACGAATTTATATATAATTTTATAAAATATTCAGCTTACAAATAATATCCCTTGATATAACAAATATATATATATATTTATAAAACATTTGGTTTATATAATGTGTTCCAATATAAGAGTTTGATTGATAGAGTTACACAAAAGTTTCATTATAAATATTTCGCTTTATCAAGGTATTTGTTATATCAAGGTAATTTTATTATAAATGAAAAATTTTTTCTTCGTTATACAGTATATCAAGATTTTATAATTAAAATTCACTATATTAAGGTATTTTTGTAATAAAAAATTTTAGCTAAAAAAAATCTTCACTATAATACCAAATTCGGTATATTGAGGTTTGTTATATCGAGGTTATACTGTATAATAATGCTTTTCTACTCTGGTTACCATTACTATTGTTTAGTGTATATACTGTGCATACTTTGTAGTTTCTTAACTGTCAAAGCATGAGGCTATCAAAAGCTGTGCTTGGTACATTGTAAATTGTACTCTTAAATTTGTTTCTGTCTTCTAACTTCATGATATCAAATTTTCCGGGTATTACTCTGTACAATTTACCTTGATCTAAATGTATTGCTCAGCTTTCTCATAAGGAGTTTTCTTGCTCTTTGATACTTATTTCAATTCTTATAAAAGCTGCCTTAGTTCTAAAGCTATATTGCCAATCTAAAACTTTAGCTCTCCCATAAAATTTGAGAAATTTCTAATTTCGTCTGCACTTATTCTCTTTGGGAGATCCCACAATATAAAGAAATAGCACGTTTCATTTGTATAATTTTGTACATTAACTTCACCCTTTGGCGCCCATATTGAATTATAAATATCTTCATACTTCTTGGCCTTCTTGTTCTCTATTTGTTGGTTGGTGTTGTTCATTTTATTAGCCAGCTGCTCTTTTATCCAATAATCAATGATGCCAACTTCATTTTGCACTAATGCGGTTTTCTTTAATTCAATTTCTGCTTCATTAGTATTAATTGTATTCTCATGCTCTGACAAACTTCTTTTGTGTGTACAAACTTGGTTACTTTCTTGCACCTTTTTACCATAATCAGTTGTCAGAATGACTGTCTTGTCATAGCAAATCTCCATATTTGCAGATACTGTTTTACTTTGTTTTTCTTTAGTATGTGACTTATTAGGCTTTGCATTTAGTCCAAGCAATGTTTTTTCTTCATCTGAGATTTCATCTTGTTTCATTACTCTTCTCTGTACCTATTTGTACCTATCTATCATTTGTACCTAGATATTCTGCAATATGTATATCTTCTTTTAGTACTGTTGTACTTTGTGCTTTATACAGCTCTAATTTCTCCTCTTCTGTTTTTCTAAAAAAGTCTTTATATTCTGTAAGTGCAGGCATTTCTTGTAGTCGTTGTTTTGGGTATCACGTGCTTTCTATTTGCTTCTTCTAGACTTATTAAACCTTCGTTGCTACCTCTATCTTGTGACTTCAAAAACACATAGTTTTGATGTGTTTTTACGTGGTTTAACGTGTTTTCACGTATTATATTTATAGAATAGCTTGTGTGTAGCTATGTAACTATACGTGTCTATTTGCATTGCACAAAAGATCTACACTACAGGGTAAACGCTATTTTTTCTCAAAGTTGAAATAAGCAAGAAAGTTCAATCTATAAGTTGAAAAAGCCATTGTATACTTCTTCCGTACAATAATAGAAACTTTCACACAGCTCTGCTTAGCTTTTTGCTACTATTATATCGACTTTAACTTGCCTAAACTCAGCTAATTTTGCTTTTTCAGTGACTTGTTGATGAGCGATTAAACAAACTTAAATATTGAGCTTCTTTTCTCCAAAACGCTTAAAAACTTGTTGGTATCTTTTTAATGATATTTTTATATATTATATAATATAAAAACCAAATAAGCCTTAATAAGCCAATGGGGATATTGAGCAAGCCTATTTGAACTGGCTTATTGAAGAACACTAATATTAAGTATTACAGTAATACTTAGTATATATATATATATTGCTAATACTATAAAATTAACTATCTTATTCTAGAATTTACTAGTTTTTTAGACTAGTTTATTCTTGAGAGAAACCTACTAAAGCTATATATGCCTACTTATATATTTATTTAGATTCTTTAGTAATATATGCCACAACTTAAGCTATGCACTTAAGAGTTACTTTTACTATTATCTACTATTGCTTTTGTATGATTTGGTGTTATTAAACTTGATGTTTACTTTATTTTTACTTTCTTTAAACTATATCTTTAGTTTTAATTCAGTTGGACTAGTAGAGTTAGTCTACTCAGACTTAAAATATCTTATAGTCTCTCTTTTTTTAATATATGGGGAGAAGTCAATAGAAATGAGACAAATTTATTAGATAGATTTGTCCCATTTCTATTAACTTCCCTCTATATGCTTTTAGAGCATATATATATATTTTTGGTATAACTCTAGCAGCTAGATTGATAGATCTCAAGAATTTTATATTTAGTTTTCTTAATTTTTGATTTTTGGTCTAATTTAGCTTTGTAGTACTATTATAGTTTTTACTACTTTTAACTTGGGTCTTGCCAAGCCAGTTTCAAATTTTCAAGATCTCTTTGTTAGTTTTATATACTTCTGAATTTTTGTACAATCTAAATATTATACAAATATTTCTAGAATATTCCAGTATACCAGTAGCACTAGTATAATCAAAGTTACAAGTATTAGAACTCAACTTATTGATAAAGATTCATTACTATAAGTATTTTTATTTAAATCATCACTAGTAGGATTTGAACTTAGTATCTTAGTTATAAGCTAATTTAAAAGTACAAAAACTTTGCTATTATATTAAGTTATTACACTTTGCTATATAAGGATAAGTCAATAAAAACACACTAATCTTTTTTAATAAAATTTTTTTAAATTTTAAACAAATATAACTCAACAAAAACTTGATCAAATTTAGTAAAATATTTTTTAATTATTTTCTATAAGTTATTAAAATTATTTTAAAAAAATTTTTATTAAATTTAATTAAGTTGTTAAGTTATTTTTGTTCAAAGTTTTAAAAAAATTTACTTAGAAAAATTTGGTGCATTTCTATTGACTTATCTCTATATAATTAAATTATTTTTAATAAAAATTTAGCTATTATAATTTAATATAATAATACAGTATTGAAAATTTTATAAATAGAGTTTAAAAACAAAGCAAAATTATAATTAGTTTTAGATTAAATAGATTTTAATATTATATAAACTTGACTGTTTGTAAAATTTTTAAGGCAAAAATAAATAGCGACCTGTCGCTATGCGACCTCTATATGATCGACCAATCATTTTTTAGATTGGCGATCATATAGATACTAACATTAATATTTTTTTTTTTCAGTTATCATTACTGGAGCCTTAACAAAATCATTGTTGGAGCCGTCATTGGAGCCGTTGTTGGAACCATTAACAAAATCATCATTGGAGTTGGAGCCGTTGTTGAAACCATCTTTGGGGCCGTCATTGGAGCCTTGAAGCTGTTGTTTAGGTGGATTATCTAGGGCGGCTCCCAAAATTGCAGTGATGTAGATCATGACGCAGCTACCGTATATGTAGATCATCGCCTCATATAAATCAATATCACTGCCGTTAAATTTTTAGATCCGTTTAGTTCTGGACGAATATATATTATGTTTATACGATGAAGTAATTTTGTCGGGTTTATGTTAATAGTCTTTTGGATACTTGTAGTAGTAAAATACCAATAAAATATGACAAACTCTTCTAAGTTTACACAATTATTGTCGCAGATCATAATGAAATCGGATTAAAATGAAACTGGGAACCTTTCTTTCTCATCTTTAAAGCTTATAAAACCCACTTATACTCTTTTATTAATAAAACTAACTCTAAACCCTAACCCTAACACTAACCCTAACCCTAAAAAATGTCTCCCAAAAAATTTTAAATTTTCCTAAAAAAATAGAAAAATTTCATTTTAATCTGATTTCATTTTAATCTGCCACAATTATTAATATGTTTATTAAGTTATTTTGACGAACTTTTCTAAGTTTACACAATTATTAATATGTTTATTAAGTTATTTATTCATTTTTTTTGCTTTGTAATCAATTAGTCTATAATGTTATTTAATAAAAACTTGTTACAATATCTAATTATTCATCACCTTCTACAATTATAAAATTTTCTATCTCATTAATTGTTACATGCTCCGCTTCTGATTTATTTGAGCATGGTAGGTACATGAGATATGGTTTTTTACTTGTTGGACCCCAAGTTGTTTGTCAATATCTCTTTCTTTCCACTGATTGTATTTCTTCTTCTATATTTACTAATCTGCTCCATTCCATCATAGCACGGACATGATACCAATTATTAGCTATTCGTTCAGTACGGATTCGCTTTATTGCTTGTTCAAATAAGGACCAATTCTCTTCTACATAAAAATGTGCATCATCTTCAGGATCTTCAACAACATCATTATACTCTGGAACTTCAATAGGTGCAATCGTTATAGGTAAAACATCTTCTGCAACTTCATTACTATTAAGATTCTTTATAACCAAAAAGGAAGGAACAGTTTGATGTTCAAAATCATTTTTAAGTAGCTGTCGCCATGTACTATCTGGCATATTTATGACTTGCTGGACCAAGTGTTTACACATTAGAAAGCAATTTCCAACAAAAGCTGGACAACTACAGATCGAACGGGAAATCTGGGTAAAGTATGAACCAACTAGATTGGCAGCTGAATCTGTTGCTTCTGTAATTTTACGCTTTCTTTTCCCTTTTTTGTTTGCATGTATTTCTCCCCTTTTTTCCTCACTTGCACCTATATACTCCTACTCTCTTTTGAACTCTTTCCACCAATATGGATTTACTATACCACTTAAGAGTTGCAGCAATCGATCCTTTTGTGATGGGACTACTTCATTGAACAGTGTCCAAAACAGAAGGTCCAACCTAGGACTGTTATATTATTGGAGATAAAGACATTTGATAACTCCCCAGTGGGCTTCAATTTTCATAGTTGTTTTTTCTAAAAAGTAAAGACAGTAAAAAAAAAAAACGGATTTAGAGCAGGTTTGAATTGAAAATTAAGTATATTTTAAATCATAGCCGTAATAAAAAACATAAAAATATTTATTGCTTTTACCTAAAGGTATTGTAGGTTTAATGGATCGAGCCCACAAATTCCATCGGTTAGGTGAGTACCAATTAGTCCAGAGGTACCCCCATGATAGTTGCAACTTATTTCTTACACAAAATTCATAAATCTCCTTTACAGCACGTTTTCTAATTTCTACCGATGACATAACTTCTCCACAAATATTAACAGGTATTAGAGGATGCAAATCAAAATGGTTTTTTATAAGTTTTAAGATTGGTTCTCAATAATCTACTGGACAAAAAATATAATTTTGTGGGTTGCGATCACTTTCCATAGGGTAAAACGTAGGGTCAACAAAGTCAAACTCATTTACTGCCTTATGAGGATTATAAACTACAGTTATTAGACTTTTATTTTTGGGTGACTTAATTTTCTCTGTAAATTTTTGTTTTAGAGCCTGCTTCATATACTATTGACAGAGTTGAACCTTTATAAGCCCCCATACTTTAATTACTGCATTTATTTCACCAAAGTCTTTGTCTGTAAATATAAAATTAGGTTCAATGCCACACCTTTTCACTGCTACAAGAAAAGTCTCCAAGATTTCATACCATTTTCCTCTACTAGCATTTGAATCATTAGCCTTCGTAGTGTTCAGCATTAGGTAAGCAATTGGATGCCCAGCACCTTCAATATCTGCTACTATACCGTAAAGCTCATAGCAACCTCTTGAAGTTCTATATGTCGCATCCATATAAATTTCTGTAATATTAATATTCTGATTCTTAATTATATCTAATATAGGGGTAGTAAACCCAATCGCCACAACTTCAGGATTCCGGATATAAAGACACTGACGAAAGCCCATGCTTTCGTGTTCTTCAAGCAACTTATATGCTGATTCAACAGGATCAGCATGGCGCTGGAATTTGTCTTTACTTGCCATGGACTTCCAATAATATATACGCTTAGGTGAAAAGTTAGAAATATCAAATTTCTTACACCTTAAATGGTTTATTAATTGAGTTGTAGTAAAGGATGCATGTGTACTAATTTCTTCGCGTAGCTCATGTGGCATTTCAGCAATTAGGTCCGGCCGTTCATGAAGAAATCCATGATATATATCTACTGCAACAACACCAAGTGATGTGTCAACTCTTATTACAATCTTGCTTTTACAATCATATCGTACTCGCCGTTTCCAATTAGATTCTCTATACACATCATTCTGTGCTTCTTTCGACTGGCAACAGACATACATAAACCTACTTACTGTATCTTTGAATTTTTTTGAGGAATCCATCTTTTTAAAGCTACAAATGTTTAATAATAATTCTAAATTATATTTTTATTTTTAATTATACCGCTAAACAGACTAATTATTAGAAAGTATTGTAATTACTATTTATAGGTTTCGCATACTAATTTCATACACCCCTATTGATTCTTTTAAATATTTACTAACTGATATTTATTATGAGGTAGGTGGATATGTTATTGATAGGGGTGTACGAAATTGGTATGCAGAACCTGTATTAGATTGATTTTTATTAATAAGGTAATAGGGTAGATAATTACTTCTATAAATAGTCATCTTCCCCCTCAATTTCAGTAATGACGAGATTGGCAATTTCCTTTAATGACATGTTTTGGATATCGGTGTCTAGACGAACTAGTAAGTTTTCCTTATAGACTTGTTCAGCTACATTATTAGTATTTGTATTATCTATTAACTCTTGGATTTCATACTCAACAAAGTCACCCAATTCAAGGAATTTGAGGTCAACATATTCGACATTATTATTATTATTTTGATCACGACTTTCTTTGCATTTGATACATATATTGTGACATGCACCATTCTAGAAAAATTGGTCTTCAGTTCGAGTACTTTCACATCTACTGCAATCCATTCTTATTAACTAGTATCCAAATGAAATTTGGAGACGTGCAACTGCAGATATTTAGTGGATGGATGTTGAGATAATGTCTAAAGTCGATTAGTTATAGGTACTAGATACAATCTAGAATTATATCAAAGATGAAGTTTAAGTCTCAACCTTCGCCAGTAGTATGGATATTTATAAGATAGTTAAAGCGAAACATAATTGTTTAGAATTTCAAATGGTCAAATTGATAAGTTGTCGAATTGATAAGTTAGGGCAAAATAGTCGAATTGAATTGATGAGTTAGAAACAATAGTCAAATTGATAAGTTAGAGACAAATAGTTTAATTGACAAGTTAGAGCAAATAGTTGAGCCAATAATATAGGGCAAATAGTCGAATTGATGCATATGATGCAATTATTATGTCTATATTGAAATTACAGAATGATAAAAAATTAAAAGCGATATGATATAATTAGTGATAAATTGGTAATATTTATTTATTTATTTATTTTTTTAACACTTCATTAGGCTACGAACAATGCACATTTTATTATTGGGATTTAATACAGTAAAAGCATCCTCCTTAATGAAATTGGTTTATGAAGTTATCGGGACACCATAATAGTTAAGATTGCTATATAGTCTCAATTTGATTATTTTGTTAAACCAATTTTTTTTAATTTAATTAAAGTATTTTACAGGAAGATACTTAAACTATGATTTATGATTAAAGTATCCAGAATTCTACAGTGTATAAATCTGCTTACACTAAAACTATTTTATATCTTGTATTGAATTTTAAAAAGTGGTCAAATTACATTTACCTTGTGGAAACAATAGACAAAAATATTTTTAGAGTGAACGATTATGCACCGCTAAATTTTGGTTACTCTACTTAAGGTAATTACACGAAAGAAGACAGTAATCGCTTTAATTCTATTAATTAAAGTTTATATTTAAGCTCATAATTTACTTCGTACAAGGTTTGTTTTGTATGAGTAAAGACAAATGACAAAAAAAAACTAAGGCAGTAAGGTTTTTTTTTATTTAATGTGATTTGTTGTTCTTATGCAATCAAAGTTGTAATATTAAATTATCCGATTTAATAAATATTATTCTTAAGTAATTTAGATTATGAAAACAATGCATTTTACTTGATGTAACATTACGTTTTGCTTAATAAAAAACAATACATTCTATTCATAGAAAATAACAATACATTTAACAATTGTGATATAGAATATGAATCCGGTTTTTATTTAATGTATATTAGTTTAAACAACTTATACATTTCGTACAGTATATGACTGTGGTATTCAAAATAAATAAATAAATATCACTAGAACTCGTCGCCGCCGCTATAAAGAGTAGATAGTCAATCTATTCTCATTTCTGCACTTACAAATAGAGACGCTGATAAAATTAATTTCGTCAAATTTCATTAAATTTTACCAATTCAACACCAATTTCACCAATAGTAGTGAAACTATTTTATCACTTTAATTTAATTTCATCAGCATCTTTACTTACAAATATATATTAAGTCGATTGAAATCCGCTAAGTTAAATTAAAATCTGGTTTTCTAATACAGTTAAAGCTTGATATAGCAATGTCCACATTCTGACTTTATCCTTCGCTATATAGAAATATTTAGTTATTAGAAGGCATATTTATATGTTTAAGCACATTTATGCAAAAAATTTTCGATATTTCAAAATATTAATTATGCCAAAATTCGTTATCTCGAGCGTTAACTTATATAGATTTTTAAACAATAACAAAATTTTGAACATAGCAAAATTTTTTATAACAGTATTTGATATAAATTTACCTTCTAACATCTGAAGATTTCTATATGTTGAAGGCATTTTGATTAGTTTTTGGCTTTTATTATATCAAGCTTTACTATATTTAGTTAATTAATCAAGTGAATAATATATTAGTAATTTAAAGGTATTAGAAAGTTAGAAAAATCGGATAAGTAAGACTAGTAAAAGTAAGATGGGACGCTTCAAAGAACAACGGGGAGAAATCGAAAATTATATGCTGCGGCTGCATGGTGATCTACGTTACTGCAATTTTGGGAGCCGCCCTGAATAATCCCGTTTGGGTCGTGGATTTTTTGTTCTTTTGGTAGTTCGGTAGGTTTTTTTTTTCTTTTAAGTTCTTTGTATTTTGGTGTATTTTCGTGTATTCCGTTTTTTAGATTCTTCGCATTTATGTAGATCTTCTAGTTAAGTTTTGCTTGTCGCTTTTTGGTGGGTTCTTTAGCAAGTTTGTCATTTTTGGCTCTGTTTTTTGGCTGGTTCTTCGGCAAGTTTTTTTGTCATTTTTGGTGAATTTTTTGGTAGTTCAGTAGGTTTTTTTTTCTTTAAGTTCTTTGTATTTTGGTGTCTTCGCGTATTCTGTTTCTTAGATTCTTCGCATTTATGTAGACCTTCTAGTAAATTTTGCTTGTTATTTTTCAGTTGGTTCTTTAGCAAGTTTGTCATTTTTGGTGCCATTTTTTGGCTGGTTCTTCGGCAAGTTTTTTGTTGTTTTAGTGAATTTTTCGGTAGTTCAGTAGGTTTTTTTTTCTTTAAGTTCTTCGTATTTTGGTGTCTTCGTGTATTCCATTTCTTGATTCTTCGCGTTTATATAGATCTTCCAGTAAATTTTGCTCGTCTTTTCGGTGGGTTCTTTAGCAAGTTTGTCGTTTTTGGCGCGTTCTTCGGCAAGTTTTTTGGTAAATTTTTCGGTAAGTTCATTGTGGGTTCTTTCGTCAATTTTTGGTGGATTCTTCTTCGATTTTGGTAGGTTCTTTAGTAAGCTCTTTGTGGGTTCTTTATGTAAGTGCATTAGTTTGTCGTTTTCATCTTCTGCTTTATTTTTTTACTGTTTTGCCTATTTTCTTCCACTTTATTCGTCTTGTTTCTTGCCGTTTTCGACCCGTTTTCTTCTGCTTTTTCGTTGTCATTTCGTCCTACTATTGTAAAAAAAAAATTATTAATAAATAAAAAACTTAATAAAAATAATAAAAAAACTTAATAAAAAAAAAACCTAATAAAAAAAACTTAATAAAAAAATTTTATGCACGTGATCAATCTTGATTGGTCGATCACAGAGTCGCTATAGCGACAGGTCACCATAAAATAACGCCCAATTTTTAATTATATATACTATATAATGCTTAGAAATTTTATTTTAAATAATAGCCTAAATTAAATTTAATTTAAACCAAAATTTAAAATTATATTTTTATATATTATTTTGTATTTATACAAATTATACAGATAAGCTATAATTTGCAAATTTTTTTTTTTTTTTTTTTCGGTATTAAGGTGACCTCTTTGGCCGGGGAATGTTTTATTAGATAGTTATATTTTTCAATTACAGTAAGGGTATATATAGCCACATGTGCACCTTTTGAGTGCCTAATTTAAGTAGTCTACCCAAAGGTTCTACACTATCTGCCGTACCTGTACCCCAACTAGGGGGGTACCCATTTAAACCCTCTGGCTATAACCTACTTTCAAACCAATGGATACTACCTAACCTGAGGCACAGCTTACTATACACAGGTAGTTTGCTATTGCCTAATCTGATTTTGCACCCACCTTAGGACTTACTAACCCCAATGAGGCTAATCTATCCACGAGGTAAACCTAACAGAGTGGTCCACGTCCCACATGTGTATTCACCTGCATGTTCGGTAATTTCTTCCCAATTAGTACATATTGTCTGCTGCCATTGTGTTCATATCTCATACCACCTTTTGGGGTGCTGCCGTAACACAATCCGTATCTTAAGCACAATCTTCCTAATTAGTTGCCTGTTACATACTTACTGCCCTTGTAAGGTTCCCAACAACCCCAGTACCCGCATTTAGAACCATCTCCTTATCCAGATTCTCTATCGGTCCCTCCCTTACTTCCAGCCGGCAACCCGGATGGGTCGGTCTGCCCAGGCTTTAGGTGCCTGAAGGGTGCCCTCCTCTTGGTTCATACTTTCGGAGCGTATGCACTTTTTTTCTGGTGCGACAACCCAGCAGTTCGGCTAGTGTGTTCTCTGCCATTTGGGACCTGATCGCTTGGTTCTCCGATCTCGGGCCCCAGTTCGAATTCAGCCCTCCTGTGGTACCATCAAAGATCATTGCTACATCCCAACTCGGGACTTGCCAAACAGGTTTTCGGTTATTTCGATTTCTCAGATTTATTGCACCAGAGCTCCCATTACTAGATAGTGTAACCGAGATTACAGATTAAGATCCAACCAATAATCGACAACCGTTAACTGAAACACAGATCCATTTTTCAAAATCGTCATCTGTGGGATTTGAACTCTAGACCTGCCACTTGGGGTGACAACTCTACCACTTCACTAAGTTGCCACACCCTTATTTATATATTATATAAAAAATATTTTCTGCTATAATATATTAAAATTTCATCAAATTTAAATCAATAGATGTTAAAATATTTAAAAAAAACACAAACACTTGCCAAATTTTTCAAAACTCTAAAAATAAAATTAAGAGGTAAATCGCAAATCAAGAGTATAAATTTTATATGATCATATGGCAGAGATCAATTATAACTGACACCCAATACTTCATTTTGACCTTCTAAATGAATTCATATTATAATTAAAAAAAATAGTTTTTGAACTTCAAATTCAACAGAACATAACAAATAAAAACAACAGTTTAAATAAAATTCCCTTTTACCATGTAAGTTATCAACTTTACTCTGTAGAGAACGCACATTTCAGTCAAAATGTTTCGGGTACTGTAACAATTTTGATCTTATTTCTTTAAAAACTGTAGCTTTTTTTTTATTTTTAGGTTTAAACAGATATGCGAGCTCACAGAAACTATTTGGTGGTATAAAAATCAAAGTAAAGTTATTAATTTGTCGCGTCAAAAAATATAAATTTCATAAATCACTTTAGTAGTTAGTAACAGGGAATACTTATTTTGAACACAAATAACCTTCTTTTTGAATATTTCAACAGTAATTTGTAACTTATAGTACACCAATAATTTTTTAGAATTATACAGTAGTTTCAGAAGTATACTATTTCACAAGTTGGCACTAGAAAATTTTGTTTTATAACGTATACTAGAATTTAAGAATTTTAGATTGAGCTAAGTAAAAATATCATTTTATTTTTTAGTTAATTCCTTATTTTAATATTCTACCATTTTATATTATAATTGATTAAAGTGCACTCTCGGGAGTATAGGCAAGTGTTCAATAATATATATTTTAGGAGATTGTCTTGTTAAGTGTGGAGAGACCAATGAAGTTGGAAAAATTAACTAGAGTGTTAAGTGCCAAAATATTCAACTAGAATGTAAGATTAGGTAGTGCACCATGTAATAAAAATTAGTATAGATTTTATTGAAATATAGGATATTATATGGTTTTTAATCTTCAATTTAGGTCATTTATGTAATTCAGTAATTTACACTAGAAACATCTATAATTTATTTGATGTAATTTGTGCGAAGAATCTGTAGCTAGTTGTATATTCTGCATAATAAATAAAGGCTTATTTCTGTTGAAATTGCGCAAAGATATTATTTTTGACTATTGCCATTTTTTCCGACCCCTTAAAAAGATTACGTCAGCTTTAATAAATATTATGCAAAGGAAAAGAAGACCAAACTTTAAGTGGTTGTTAATAATTGGAAGGCGTTTTTATCAAAATATAATTATTAATCCCCAAGTAAATTAGAATATATAACTAGTGTGGATTTTGATATCTACAGTCATATCTGAGTTATATCCCCCTTTTTTCTAGAGCATTTTTGGTGATATAACTAAGGTTGGGATATAACTCGATATATAAACTATATAAAAAAGGAAATTTATTCTGCTAAAAAATAGGGATATAACTCAGGTTGGGATATAACCCAGTGGAGATATAACTCAGATATGACTGTATTTGAGGGTCAAACTATTTGTATGGTACTATTGTTAACTTATAGTCAAAATGAAGAAAATTTTTTTTTATAGTGGGTCAATAAAAATAGATAACAATACTTCTGCAAAATTCATGTTAAATAGATATATATAACACATTAAATAAATACAAATAAATAGTTCAAACAATACTATTATATTCAAACTTGATCAATGCGAATGAAGTATATGAAATAGGGATCCTAAATCAAATTTATAAATCTAAGTAACCTTCTATTTATTTCATGATAAATTGTATTTCATTTTCCAACTTGAAACGTTTTAATAAAACTTTCTGCTCCAGTAGTTTTCTGATAATAAACAAAAGCCTTACGTTCATCATTTACAACTTATGATTAAATAATTTGTTTTCATTGTAATAAAATTCAATTTATTTTCAATATAAATAAAGCTAAGATGCAAAAATAAATAATAAAATGTAAAATACACACTAATATTAGTAATTTGAGGATGAGCTACTAGCAATGAATATTTCGAGTGCAATAGTTGTCTCTTCATGATTAAATTCTCTCAAATATCTTCCAATCCAGTTGTGAATTGTAGATACCTGAGAGATGTTGTTGTTATCAATTACTCCAAATTGCACGAATTCTTCAAGTTCCACATGCATTTCTTGGGCCATTAGCTTGTTATTAGGATTTATATTTCTATTTAAAAAGAATTGTTTTAGTAAATTAATGACCTTTGCTTTAATTTTCTTTTCTATACTCTTTTTTCTGAATTTAGCATTGGCTGGGAATGCCCAACCTGGAGACATTTGAAATTCTTTCTCAATATGTCTAAACAAAACTCAAGTTAGTTAAAGATGAAATAATAAAAATAAATCAAAGTTCTGCAAATTTATACCCCATCTCAGCTAGCTTTTGGCAATAAATGAATGCCTTTTGTTGATTCTTTGCAACTCCAATTACACTGGAATTCTCTGTTTTTTATTAGCCAAAATACTAGAGTAACTAATTCCTACCATTAACTTCTATTTCACAATCTTCTTTATAGCCACCCTTATTACTAAGATTGGTAACATCTATTTTACAAGAAAATTGGTAAGTAGCTTCTTATTAGAAACACTATATGAACTATTTCCTACCATCGACATCCATCTCAGAACTTTCATATTTGCAATTGAAATCGGTAATGTCTAAAATATCTTTAGTAATGTTTGCAATTAACTTGTAAAATTACAACAATTATAACAATTACAACTTACCTTTTACTTCAGATATTTTATTATTAGTAGAAACTAAATTTATTACAAAACTATCAATTTATATTATTTTTCTAACAGATACTCAAATGTTATGTACCTTAAATCATCGAAATTGGCATGGTCTAATCAGATGTTGGTTTAGTATATTTTGAAACTATCAGATTTGGGCGAATAATAGACATATTAAATAATTTGGCAATTTCAGCTGGAGAAAAACTCTCTCATGGGCCCACATATAGTAATCCCCTAGCACAAATAAACCTAGCCAGAGGTCCTTCTGTGGGCCATTCCCAACAGTAAAATTTTGATATTCCTGGTATTGTTTTAATTTTTGGTTTTTTAATTTTTGAATTTCCTTTTTTTTGGTTTTTTTTTGGTCTTACGTCTTCAGTCTCAGATTCACTATTTTCATCATTATGATTGATTTTAATTTATGCTAGTGAAGTTCTGGCTAGCCCCTTTGCTGCTTTTACTATATCTTTACCTTCGGCTACATCATATCCAACTCGAACATATTGTCTAATACTATAACCGATCTTATGTGATATTAAAAGCACTGCTATGTTAGTATACAATTATCTCTATAAAAATAACTCATTAAAAAAAAGTTGATTTCACATTTGCATGATGAGAATCGATGGTTGTCTTGGCTTCTCCTGGCTCTAAGAACAGCCATCATTTGACTTTAATAGAATACCAATTATACCAATGAGCAATAACTCCGAATTGTAATAATGCGCACCATTATCTAAAACTATTGTAATCTATTTTGGTTTTTGTTTC